ATTTCATTTATTAAGGGAAAAAAGCTGTCCAAACCTGCCTGGCACTACGTGAAAAAGTAAGTGCCCCTAAATCTAATAACTGGTTGTGCCAGCCTTTGCAGCAACAACTGCAATCAAGCGTTTGTGATAACTGGCAATGAGTCTTTCACGTCGCTGTGGAGGAATCTTGGCCCACTCTTCTTTGCAGAATTGTATTAATTCAGCCACATTGGAGGGTTTGAGCATAAAAGGACGGTCATTCCACATGACACAGCATTTCAATCGGATTGAAGTCCGGACTTTTTGACTTAACCACTCCAAAACCTTAATTTTGTTTTTCTTGAGCCATTCAGAGGTGGACTTGCTGGTGTGTTTGGGATCATTGTCCTGCTGCATAACCCAAGTGTGCTTGAGCTTGAGGTCACAAACTGACGCTCAGACATTCTCCTTCAGGATTTTCTGATAGAGTGCAGAACTCATGGTTCCATCAATTATGGCAAGTTGTCCAGGACCTGAAGCTGCAAAGCAGCCCCAGACCATCGCACTACCACCACCATGTTTGACTGTCTCTTTCTTATTGTTGAATCATGAACATGGACCTTAATTGAGGCAAGTGAGGCCTGCAGTTCTTTAGATGTTGTTCTGGATTTTTTTATGACCTCCTGGATGAGTCGTCGTTGCGCTCTTGGGAGTAATTTTGGTAGGCTGGCCACTCCTGGGAAGGTTCACCACTGTTCCAAGTTTTCTCCATTTGTGGATAATGGCTCTGACTGTGGTTCGCTGGAGTCCCAAAGCCTTAGAAATGGCTTTATAACCCTTTCCAGACTGATACGTCAACTGTTTTGTTTCTCATCTGTTCTTGAAGTTCTTTAGATCGCGGCATGATGTGTTGCTCTTTAAGCATGCGTCTCTTTGTCAGACAGGTTCTATTTAAGTGATTTCTAGATTTAACAGGTCTGGCAGTAATCAGGCCTGGGTGTGGCTAGTGAAATTTAACTCAGCTTTCTAAAATAATGTGGTTAATCACAGTTCTTTCATGATTTAACAGGAGGGGACAATTCATTTCTCACGTAGGGCCAGGCAGGTTTGGACAGTTTTTTTCCCTTAATAAATGAAATCATCATTTACAAACTGCATTTTGCATTTACTTGCATTATCTTTGTGTACTATTAAAATTAGTTTGATGACCTGAATCTTTTAAGTGTGACAAATATGCAAAAAAAAAAAAAACAGGAAGGGGGCAAAAACTTTTTCACGCCACTGTATATGTGTGTGTGTGTATTTTTTTCTCCCCAGAACAAATGTCATTACATCAGGTCTATATCATATTCTACTGATGACACACTAGAGACACCACTTACATCACAATATTTTACCACCAACGTCCGAACAATGATTTCCTCATTTGGTCGTGACTCCTCAAACTAAAGACAAAAATGACAGTAATCAGGAGAACTTCCCCTTGTGGGGCCTTGCAACTGCACAAACTACACTTTGCATCAAACCGCTGAAAAAAAAAAAAAAACTGACAAAACTTTCACGAGGCGTGAAGATAACATCAAAAGTAACTGTTGTGTAAGATTAATATCCTGTATCTCAGACCGAACTGCTGAATTACGAACAATGCTCATTGTGGAGTAGCACAGAAAACACTTACAGTTGAGACAGTAAAGGGACCAAAAATAGATGTGTCTGTGGTCAATTCCCAGTAGACTTCACATTTTTTCTAAAGAACAGACAAGTTGTTAAAACAGTAAATGCCAAGAAAATCACAGGCATGACAAAAAACAATAAATGAAATACCTTTCCCATCTCAATCTCTCTACAAGCCATGATTATGACCTATCAAAAAAGAACAGACAAAAACTGAATCGATTTTATCACTAAAGTGAAAATAGAAGAGATAATTCAACAAAGAGATAATGCATAATTATAGAAGCAGTCTATAATTAAGAGTCTAAGCAGCTGACCTTAACATTGTGTTGCCAAATCATACGCCAGAAATCAACCACAGTACTGCTCAAAGGGCCCTGGGTGGCAATATACATCCTGTTCTTAGCAGCTCCCTAGTGAGAAAAAATAGATTCAAAAATAAAAAATTTTTATACATCTACTATACTTTTCAAAATATCTGGACAAAACTGCACCACTACACCTTTTATTCATTTTTTTGGTCACATATTATCTTGCCTGTGTATAATTAAGTGCATAATGCCCTTGATAAGAAGTTAAAACGCTGCAGTACCTTGATGAAGCTGGCATTAATATAATCAGACTCATATTCAGATGTGGTTGGAGCTAGACAGACTCTGGTCTGATCATCTGGAATACATAAAATGCAGAAAGTTACCAAGGGATTTGCATATTTTGCCTCTCATCAGTGTGAGTAACTCATTTATCAGGCAACACATTGTGGAGACTCAATTATGAAATATAAAGACATGTTATTGGCATTGCAATACTAAAAAAAACAACATAGTACTGTAACTATAGGAAGCATGTTTTGACAGATGTGACAGTAAATTGAAAATGATGTGACGGAGAATCATGTAAAATAACTTCAGTGCACTATTCTGTGTCAGACTGAGAGAAACTGTGAGTCACAAATATTTCAAAGCTGATGAGCTTACTGTCAGATTTGAAAATCCTGATATCAAAGTGTGCAATATTCTAACACAAAACGTGTTAGTCTTAGAAGCATCAGGAAGAATGGGTTGCAAATAATACATGAAGCACCATATGCCATTGTTTTTCCACAAAATATATGAATTTATATCTGTCATGGAGCTGTACAATTTCGAGTTATTATTTCTTTAAACATAATACAATTTTGCAATTTGTTAAAAAAAGTTATGTTTGTGAAAACAATATATATTTCTTTTTGACACAAAATAAACGCTACAGAAAATAAAATGTAATTTTGTTTGTAGAAGGACCAGTGAAAATATAGGCCTTGTTTATATTTCTTATTAATATATTTCCTTTGCATAGGTCATTTTGTCATGGTGTCATATTACAGGTTTTGTTCAGTAATTAAATAAATAAATAAACAGACAAACTGGGTCATCAAAAACATTCTTATTGTTAGGCTCTGAAACCATTTATTTATTTATGTATTCATTTAAAAATTATACATGCTGCTTTTTTGACTATATATTAATATTAGTGCTGTCAAACGATTAATTGCGATTAATCGCATCCAAAATAAAAGTGTTTGTTTACATAATATATGTGTGTGTACTGTGTATATTTATTTTGTATATATAAATACACACACATGCATGGATATATTTAAGAAAAATAGGTTACGTTTATATATTTAATATATTTATATATGATATAATTTATATGAATTTAAATATATACACGTAAATACATGTAAATATTTTCAAAATATATGCTGTATGTGTGTGTCTTTATATATACATAATAAATATACACAGTATGCACACATATATTACGTCAACAAAAACTTTTATTTTGGATGCGATTAATTGCGATTAATCGTTTGACAGCACTAATTAATATCAACCTATTAACTACATTAAATAAATTTTTTTCACATAAAATATGCGTCTCACTGCGGGACTGTCTGAATTGCACTGAATTGTAAATATTACCTAAAACGTTGGCAGAACAATAACATGACAGAACATGGTCATGTTATTGGTTAGCACATATCTCTTAAAACTTGTAAAATTGTATAGAGTGAATTGCATTGAATTCAATTTGAGAAACTGCTTCACCTAGAAACAGCCTTAATAACAGAACAAAGAAAGCTTTACTGATAATCCTACGTACAGGGCAGAATATCCCTATAGCGGTTTTTCTTCGCATTTTCTTTGATTTCTCCTACCGCAGTGGTCAGGCCATAATCCTCTTTCAGTGTTGCACTTTTCTGTCGGATCAGCTGAAAAAGGAAAGAAAAAACAAAGTTTTTTTTTAAAAACAAGCATCCCTTTCATTTTAGTAGCATGTAGGTGAACTGCAGCATCTGACCACAAGGTGGTGTCCTAATGCTTGTTTGCATTACTTTTGACTCATTAATTGGAATCAAACCTATGACTGTTGCTGGCATCATGCTATACTGTTAGTGTAAAAGGAAAGCCTTCAATTATTCTCAGACAAACAAGCAGGCTATAAATATCTGTAAACAGAGGCAGCTACATTTCCATGACTAAAACTGCTCTCTGTTTTACTTCCATTCTCTAAAAGCAGAAGAGATCAGAACACATGGGCTATTTTCAACAAGATGCTCTCAGTTAGGTCTCCGCCAATGAAGCCACAGAGCATCACAACCCAGCATCTGCCCCTTTCACCACAAGCACTACAGTCTCAAGTGTTTTTTCCACAGAGGCTTCAACTTCTGTCTGTGAATGCTGCCTGTAGTTAATAACTGAGAAACTAAATGAGGAACTGTAGATTGTGCTGGTTACAAATCCCCTCTTACTTTTACTAATGTAGCCGAAATGAGACAAAAAGCAACAGATACTTCTGTAAAATGTTGGTCTGACTGTATATATGATGCTCTGGCTCTCACATCCCCCCCAGTTGTTTCAAAAATGTGTTTTTACAACAACAAAAAAATGTTTTACTAATGTTTCCATTAAGTTATGAAAACATTATTTCTGATCAGTGTTGGGTGTATTATTAAGTAATTAATTACTGTAATTTAATTACTTTTCCCTTGAGAAAGTAAAGTAATGGAATACTAATTAATTATACTGTATAGACTACAGAACAAAACAATAGTGGATTAAAATAGGTGTTTTTAATGCAACCTTGTCCCTTTAAATACTTTGGTCAGTTGAAGAATAATTTACGCAATTTTATATTATTTATTTAAAAGAATTAAAAGAGCAGTTTCATATCTTTGTATCGTTCAACTAGTCAAGGTTGAAATGAGAATTAGAAAGTAATTAATAAGTAATGCAATACTTTTCAGAGAGAGTAATAATTACACAGTAATCTAATTACACTGTTGAATATGTAATTAGTAGCTAGTAATAAATTACTTTTCTAGAGTAACTTACCCAAAACCGTTTCTGATGTTCTCTGAAAGTTGAAAACATTCAAATTTTTTTTATGTTTTAAAATCATTTTATTCCTTTGCTATGCAAACGTTAATGAAAACATTAAGGGGATGTTACTTTTGAAGGATCTCTGAACGTTGTAAAACAAGTCGAAGAACGTCTAACTAAAGACATTCCATGAACTTTTTGTGCCATTGTTTTGAGAACATTATTAAAGGCCACATAACTTGTGCAGTCTAACATTACACTCGTTCATAACTTCTCAGAATGTTCTAAATGGAATCAGCAGTGAGATCCTTCACCTCTGTTTACTGTAGCTCATGCAAATGTCGCGTGATGTTGTGTAATCTAGCCTGCAGTAATCAACTCATTTGCAAAAAGACACATGCAAATTAGCAGTTTGCTAAAAGTTATTAACACTATGGTAAAACTGTTCTCACTCATAAAATTAGTGACAAAAAGATAAAGATATGCACATTCATACAGTAGGAAATGTCCTTTTATATATTGACCATATATTTTCATATACACAAAAACGTACTGTCATTGTATCATGGTACACTGATGATACAGTATATTAAGGTAACTCCATGGAACTTTTATTACCATAATCATATACCATGGTAGGCTATTTGCATGATAGTCCAATGTACTTCAAAGAACACTATAATCATGAAAACACGTCTAAAACCATTGTAATGCCATGACATGGTGGTGGTGGAACTGAATGACACCCATATTCATATATGTGACACTGGCCCACAAAACCAGTCTTAAGTCGCACGGGTAGCCTATATTTGTAGCAATAGCCAACAGTACATTGTATGGGGCAAAATTATGATCGATTTTTCTTTTATGCCAAAAATCATTAGGATGGTATTAAGTAAAGATTAGATTATGTGAAGACATTTTGTAAATTTCCTACTGTACATATATCAAAAATTAATTTTTGATTAGTAATATGCATTACTAAGGACTTCATTTGGACAACTTTAAAGGCGATTTTCTCAATATTTACATTTTTTTTGCACCCTCACATTCGAAATTTTAAAACAGTTGTATCTCGGCCAAATATTGTCCTATAGCCTAACAAACCATACATCAATGGAAAGATGATGTATAAATCTCAGTTTAAAAAATGTGACCCTTATGACTGCTTTTGTGGTCCAGGGTCACATATCTGGTATTTACATAGGCTACTACTCCAAGGAACTTCACTTACAAAGCCGTACCCGAAATTACCAAGGTAATACTATGTTTTTGACATGCACCATGTAAAACCATGGCATTTTTAGAAGTATCTGAGAGTACCATGTAGGCTACTTGTATACTAAATGGTATCATCACTGTATCAGCACATTATTTTCTGTAAGAGATCAAATAGCATCAAAGTAGAGTCCAAAAACATGGGATTACCATAGTACCAAGAAAGATAGCACAACTCACTTCACAAGCAAAACGTTTCACAAAGAGAAGGATGTTAAAATTACATTTTGACAAGTGTGGTTTTTCAATCACGGAACTTTGAGAAATATGACAGTGTAGGCTATCCAAAAACATGGTAATAGTATGGTATTGTGTGTCATCTTATTTGAACTGATATATAATTACCTGTTAAATAATATATAGATATAAATATATATATAACTATAAAGCTCGTGTAAAAGTGTAGGACTTACGTTGAACTCTGTGGAGATGAGCTGATCTCCACTGCTGTCATTAGTGTCGGACAGACAGCGGACCCGCTCCACGAACCTCAACAGGTGCGCTTCCATCACCATATAATCACTCTCTCCAGCATCTTACTCCGTCATTTTTTGATACTCGACTCCTTGTACAATCTTAACTAGTAATATGCGATCGTTCGACAGCAGAACTGCTCCGTTTCCGTCTTAGTAAAGTTATCCAGGCAGCAAAACTGACACAGGGAAGTTTCTCCCGCTGGTGTTTTTGTTGGTCACCTTCACGTACGGCGGTGTGTCAATCACCAGCCGTCGCCACGCCCGCTTTATCATTCCAGCCAATCCGCTGTCAGAACCTCACCTGTAGTGTTAGGGAGACACTACTACGCGCTCATTTAGCTCAACTGATACTATTGGATTTGTGTGAGGCTAGTCTTGCGAACATAAACTACAATTCCCATCAGCCTTTGTATGGCGGCAGAAAAACGCAACAAAACAGATGCATAATCTATTACAGTCATACAATGCACATCGTTTGCGCTTCATTATGTTGCATTAGTGCTAAATCATTCCTGTCTTTATCGGGAAGTGAAATAGAAAGAGAAATATCCAGCGACCAAAACCACGTGAACGCACCAAATGTCACAATTACGATTTCTGAACTTGTAAGTACCAAGCAGGAACTTTCCACATGGTGAAAATGTTGCACTTAACTGTACTGATCCGCTTTCTGTCTTTGTGTTGTAGAACACAAACAAACCCAAAACAGCCTGCCATGCAGTAATTCAACCAGTTTCTGCAAAAAACAAAAACAAAAAAACCCGCTTATTAATTTATTATTAAATTGAATATTAACTACCATTGTCAGTCACTCATAAATTATGAAATGAATTACAATATCTTTAACAGTTTGAATGTATTACACCTATGCAAAAGAACCAGTCACAGCAGCAGGTATTTCGGAAAAAATTATGTTTACTATGGAAATTTTTGGTATGCATGCACGTCTATGGGAGTCTATGGGAAAATAACAATTGCTATGATGCCATGCTAACTTTGTACTATGTTTGTGTTTGTGCGTGTACCTGGTATTCCCTACATCAGGGGACTAAATGTTCCCACAATGATCAGTAAATTTTGAGCTTGTGGGGAATTTTTTGGGTCCCTATGAGGAAACGAGCTTATAAATCATACAGAATTACATTTTTTGAAAATCTAAAAATACAGAAAGTTCTGTGTCGGGTAGATTTAGGGGTAGAGTTAGGGTAAGGGGATAGAAAATACAGTATGTGTGTGTGTTTGTGTGTGTGTGTGGAAATTATACCGCTATAATAAAACTCTGTGACTGATTCCACAATGCAAATCATTATGATCACAAATCATTCTTGCAGTAGTGACATATTTAAATGAGCACAATTTGCAGCTAATACATATATAGTATGATCAACAAATGTAGGCAGGTGTGATGGTTAAATCAACTGATCTGTAACTCTCTCCAAATACTCCTGATTGTAAACCTTGATGGCATCTTTTTATTTTTAGCCTGCTTCCTCATTTTGACAGTGCTTTAGCATTCAATCAGCTTCATGTCCCACTTTAACCTCCTCTAAGTCAGCACTGCCACAGATCAGTTAGAAATAATTCTTTCAGCGAGAAATGAAGCATCATGTTCATCCTATTACACAGTTTTAACCGCTCTCTGATCCCCAGGCATCATGTGATACCTCTGGGATTCCAGACCGAGTAATGGAGAGCCACAGAGATCCATTGTGTGACATCAATAGAACACGTGTTTGCACCCTTAAATCTAAAAAAAAAAAAAACACCAAGTCCAGAAGATTCTCGCTTTGAGGGAAATAAGAAACAGACAACATGCACAGGAGCGACAATAGAGGAAGTTGGGAGTTTCAACCTGAGGACACCTTAATAGAGGAGACTGGTAATTTTCCATCTACTTTGGCCCAGGCGAACTTCAATGGGCAGAAAAAGGCAGGTTCCGCTGTGGATGTCCCAGGTCTAGCTTATAGGAATGAAGATATAATGTCAGAGAGTTGGAGGCAACACAGGAAGCATGTGTTTGTGCTGAGCGAGGCAGGGAAGCCCATCTACTCACGCTATGGCAATGAGGAGGCCCTCTCCTCCACCATGGGTGTCATGATGGCGCTGGTCTCCTTCGTCCAGGCTGGAGGCAACATGATTCAGTCTGTTTTTTTCAGGTGAGATGCACCATCTTCATCTAGGTTTTTTTAAACTGTCTAATACATAAAGGTTCTTTGCAGCCCCTATAGTTTAACAACAACAAAAATAAAATTTCTGAAGAACAAAAGAACTTAAAAAAGGTTCAGGCTGTAAATTTCTTTGAAACCATGCAGCTTCTTTGAATATATGGTTAATGTTGAAGTTGTAAATTTACTGTGTAAACTTTGAAACGTACATTATTCTTCTATCTTGGACAACATAAAATATTTCATTTAATCTTATATAAATTATATCAAATATTTAAGGGCTTAAGACATTTAATCTCTTAAATATACCATTCAATGCATTAAATGGATCAAAAATGACAGCAAAATAATTATTTTTCGAATAAATGCTGTTTTTAAAAAAAAAAACTTTCTATTCATCAAAGAATCCTGACAAAGATGCATCACAGTTTCCACAAAAATATAAAGCAACTGTTTTCAACATTGATAATAATAATAAATGTTTCTTGAGCACCCAATCAGCATATTAAAATTAATTCATATTTCTAATGAATATTGTGATGCAGTAAAATAATGGTTGCTGTAAATTCAGCTTTGCATCAACAAATAAATGACTATAAATGGTTATAGTATATAAATTAATATATAATATATAAAATAGTTATTTTAAATTGAAATAATATTTCATATCATAATAGTACTGTATTTACTGCAGCCTTGGTGAGCCTAAAAGACTTATATATTTATATAAACAAACTTATATGAACATCTGGTGTCAACACAGAAAAGATTACATAGGATCTTTACATTCTGCATGTAATTAGGGTCTATAGTACATATATAAATTATTTTTGACCAGTTTTCAATTTTGAAATTTTTTAGTAAGAAGCATTTTTACCTATTTAATGACAGACAACAGCTAATATTATTCTGTTCTTTCCCTCAGATGAGCACACGGTGGTCTTTTTGCAGAAGGGTCCGCTGGTGTTTGTATCCGTTTCTGCCACTCGCCAGTCTGAACAGCAGCTGCGCAGCGAGCTCCTCCATGTTTATCATCAGATAATCAGCATGCTCACGCAGGCCAGCATAAACCGCATCTTTGAGCGCCGCAAGAACTTCGACCTGCGGCGTCTGCTGTTTGGCTCGGAGAAGGTTCTGGATGGCCTCCTCGATGTCATGGATTCTGATCCCAGCTTCATGCTGTCGGCCGTCCAATGCCTGCCTCTGCCCTCCTCTTCCAGAGACGCCCTCAGTCACATACTACAGAAAGCCGTCACCCCGAATCTGGTCTTCTCTTTTCTCATTGCCAGTAACCGACTTGTCTCCGTTGTTCAGGAGAAGACGGTCCTGGAGGACGCTAGACTAAAACCCAGTGACCTTCATCTCCTCTGCAACCTGATCAGGGCCTCCTCTGCTTTTCAGGCTGGAGAGATATGGACGCCCATCTGCCTGCCTCTGTTCAATCACGACTGCTACTTTTATGCTTATGTGGCGTATCTAGACCCTCCAGAATGTACTGTATGCCTTGTTCTTCTGTCTACAGATAAAGAAGCGTTTTATGCCGTGGCAGAGTGCAAAAGGAAAATTGAGGAAGCTTTCGCATCCCAGAATGCCTTGCAGTGGGTGGCAAACACTCAGTTTTACTACGTTGACGATATCGGTGTAGCTAATCTTAAGCACTTCCTTTACAAGCCCTCAAAAGTGCTAGACCACCATCGCCAACTGCCACAGTTCACATGGTGAGTAGCTTATGACGAGTCATTAAATGACAATATGAAATTAAAATAGACCCTTTTTACTTTCTTAGTGCATGTTCATGGTCTTATTGTGCACAATTCAACATCTAAACTCAAAAAATGTTCCCCTTCATTGGCTTTCATGAAAATGGTTGACCTTTCCTCTCCAGTTGATGTCGCCTGGCCTCATGGATAGGAAATATAATGTTAAAAATAGCTAAATTAAAGTAATTTAATTGTAATTCATTCTAAACTTATTTGGATGCCAGTTAACATTAATTAATTAAAGGCTATGGCAATAATAACAAATAAGAATAGATTCCTGGTCAAAAAGTCTTTTCAAAAGCAGGAAGTATTCAGAACTCTGTTCTTATATGTAAAAACACCCACTTTTCATCATCCAGTAAAGTCCTGTCCTACATTTTTTCCTCATTGAATATTTTGTTTCTCTTGGAATTACAGTACGTACAGTAAAAAATGGTATAAAAACTATTTCACTCAGAAATGTCTAGTACATTTCACTATTAGTTAAAAAGAAATGACAAGTAAAATTAAATTAAATGTGGAATTTTGAAGTAGAAAGACTCCAATAATTTACTTTTATTTACAACTTCAAAAAAAGTAAAGTGCCCCTATTATGGGCAATGAAATGTTCATATTTTGGTTTTGGGAGTCCCCAACAACAGGTTGACATGCATGCAAGGTCAAAAAACAATTTCGTTGTCTTATAATATGCATTTATTTTTACCTTACTTGCTCAAAACTCCCAAACGATTCGCTCAGCGATTCATTTTTCCAAACCCCTCCTTTGCGTGACGCTAATCTGTGGTGATTGGTCCGATTGGTCGATTTACTTTCCATTTCATCATGCCTGTAAATGCCTGATAAAGCAGCGTTTGTGAGCGCAGTGCTGCTTTGTGTACACCCGTTACCGGGAAAACCGCTATTTTTACAGCTCCAAAAGCGGCACCTAGTGGCAAAGAATGAATTTACATCTTCATTCAGACCAAAGTGAAAAGACCAACAAGTGGGCGGGCAATATGCTAATAGTTCATGTTGACGTCAACATGAAACGGCTTGGGATGCGTTTTAAAAACGACTCGCTTCAATGATTCAGAGTCGACTCTTTGGGATTATGCAAATATTTCCACATAGTGGGGTAGATATGTGGGGGCGTGTTAGAATGAGCCGTTTTAGGGGGGCGTGGCAGAGTCTTAACTTTGATAAAGAATATCTCTTTGGTTTTGAGACTTTAGTCTTTGCAACTTCAGGGATCTTATCTATGCACAATCAGCTTGTAACACTCCAAAGAGAAAGGAAAACTTGAAATCGCATCATATGACCC